GTAGGTCTGTATTCAGCATTGGACTTTATTAGGCTGTACGGTAATGGCTGCAACTTTTGTCACATTAGAAAATAAAAATAAATCCTATGAAACCTGTGAAATTCGTTTATTTTAAGTTCAGTGTACAGTTTTAATAATTTCATTTTTATTACAGGGACTAGACGATTTTTTTAAGCTTGTGGATCAAGCAGCGGAAGAGTATGAAAAGTGAGTTCCTTGTTTACAAATTTCAACCTTTAAATTAAAATTAAAGTAAAGTAATAGACATATTCATCCTCCTCATTTCTTAGTGCTGAAAAGTCCTTTGTGCTGTATTTCGAACTTTACATATTCTAATATTTGTAATCAAACATGCAGGTTCCTTTACCGTTAGCTGTACTAAATTTTTTTAAAGCGAGCACTTTTTTATTATATTAAATGAAAATAAATCAAATGTCTATTTCAGAGAATATAAAGTCGATTGGCTTAAGATGAGGGCAGAGAAGTTAGAAAAGCAAAAACGCAAAGAAGAAGAGTTGAAACACGGAGATGGAGGTAAGATAAATAATACAATCATTTTTTGCATGTGATGGTCACTTAAGGACGCCATATCATCTTATGGGTGTCGTTAGAGCCGACTATGGACTATGGAGCCGGGTATGGTAATGTTAAGAAAATCTTATGGCAAGTCGGTACAGCAAAGCATTCAATAAATGGGTATCAGAGATGACTTGTTCAGATGATTCAAGTTGTCAAAATTTGAAGTCAGCCCGTCCTTTTTAGTGGGTTTATCATTCATCAACAATTTATGTAACGTCTCGCATCCTACCAGTAACCCTATTGGGAGACATCATCGCTTCACCATCTTAGGCTACATCACCACTTACCATTAGGTGGGATCGTAGATAAGCGCTGGCTTAGTAGAATATAAAAAATATAAAAAAAAACATCAATTCATATTTTTGAAGCTCCCAAAATTAATTTTTATGTTTTCGATATCAAATCTTATGTGTTTATAATTTTATTATTACGTTTATTACAGATTTAGAAAGTTGTTTTAATTTTAAAAACGATTTCTTTAATTTGGAAACATACTATACTGAAAATAGACATACTCTAAATGTTTTGTATCCACATTTACATGTAAACTTAATCCAATAAATGATTATAAATTACATGATACTGCTCTTAATAGAACCGATTTTATCTGAGATCTAGCAGTTACTTTAGACTCATAACTGCTATGAGACACTTACGTTCATGACATTGTTACAACATTGCGATAGCGGTAAGACCCCGAAAATATAGGAGCATGGGGAAGTATAAATTTTCATAAAAATTATATTTTTGAATGTTTATATTTTTCAGGAACCTCAGACACAGTCATAGACAAAAAGAAGTTGATAGAGGAGGTCGTAGCTGGAAGGGAGATAAGCGACGTGTACCTCAAGCATCCGGCGAACGAGAGCTCGAGCGATGATGAGGGCACCGAGGCAGATGTACCCGAACATGGTAAATTTAGCAGTTAATTTGTGATAGAGCTAAGCTAAAAATGGGTCTGATCGACCGGGACGTTCCCCATGGCATAGAACACCATTATGAATAGTAGCATAATCCTGGTAACAATTTATAAAATTACTGGTAACAAAGCATCCATCCGAGTCAGGGATCAACTCTTCTACGTTTTGATCCTTGCAATCAATGAAGGATAGATTGTAGGTGTCTTTGAATCACAACATCACATACAATCAATCAGACTATGCTTGTTTGTCACACGTACATTATAAAAAACATACCAACCCCATGGTCGGATCACGTATTAGTCTGAGTAGATCTCCTTTATTGCAGATCCTGGGTTCGAATTGCAGCTAGGGTCATGAAAAAGCTTGTGTTGTGACTATCCATCCCCATATCTCTGACTGCATCCTAACCTACTCTTGATTATATCAAATCAAATACTACACATTGCATACTAATTAGCAATTTTTTTTTATAGGATAAGGGTGACAAACGAGCACACAATCCACCTGATGGTAAGCGGTTGCTGTGGTCCATAGACATCTACATCTATCCTCGATTACGAATCAACATGCAGATGCGTTGTCATCCGTGAGGACTAAGATGGAATGCCTCGATTCCAGTAAAAGGGTCTCCGGATCTCTAACACTAACCATACGAAACACAGCAGCATTAAGCTGCTATTTGACGCTGGTATTCTGTGAGAGCGTGGTCCTTCCCCGGTCGATCCGACCCATTCGTGTTTCAACTATACCAGAAATATAGCTGCAGCATGGCTCTACCACGGAGTAAAATTCATACTAATAACTGATTACTATAAAAATTCAGTAGGAGTAAGGAGTGTTTCAGTGTTGCTTTAGATTGTCAATTAGATGTCAATAATTTTATTATTTTGTTACAGATGATAAACCTGAAGATGTTGCCATGTTCCAAGAGTTTATTAGAAAACATGTCAAACCTAATAGCACTGGAAGTAATACCTAAATTTTCCTTAACTAACTGCTAACTATAATAATAAGTTAAAGACAATTAAGAAAAGTATAATATGTGCTCATTATGATTAAATATTAAGAAAATGCAAAAAATGTGAAAATATTAATGTGGTATTTTGATTTTAAAAGTATATTTCTCTTATATTTATGGAGCGAACATATTTTGCTGCTTGCATATCAGGTCATTGACCCTTTTAAGCGCCTATTCGTATTTAAAAGTGAATGGCGATTACATTTGTCGAGGTAAATTGCAATCGCCACTTCGTTAAACACGGAAACAATTTATTTGAAGGATTAACCGGAATAGTGATAGAATGGAGTTTCGAAATAAGCTAATTTTATTCGAACTCAAGGTAATTTCGTACTCTCAAAACTCAAGCTAGTGCAGAATCGAATGGTGATCAAATTGGAATTATTAGAACGAAATCTTAAGTTGTTCGCCGCTAGATGCCTAATCGCAAGAGACGAGAATGATCTTTCTTGATAAGTTTATTCTATATATTATGTAATAAAAATATTTAAGCGGTGATTTTTATGATTACTATAACAGCCTATCAAAAGTCTTACTGCTGAACATAGGCCTTCCCCATAGATTGCCACATGGGGTGGATATTTGCCTTTGTCGTCACGCTTAGCGGGCGTGTTTCAACAGTTATTTTGAGATGCTACCAAGAATATGCTGCTGTTTATCTCCTGTTTTATTCATTTATACGATTCCCATGGGATGATATGGGGTTGTGGATATTCTTACACCGTTACTACACGTTTTAGTCAAATATTAGAATAGAATAGAATGATTTCTATTCAATATTGATTATTACATAATACTTATTGAAAGTTATTTTTTTATTTACCAATATTTCGGATACCTCTGTCCTGGGAAGAACCGGCAAGAAACCCAGCGGGACTTTTTTTAAACATAATTTCACTTAACAATAATTTTGTTTATACAATTTTAAATGAATTTTCATAGAACCAGCATGGTGGCGATCACGTTATTCCCAGGAGATATTTTCATTCATGTATTCCTTGATATTATTTGTATAGTTTTTTTTTAAATAAAACTTTTAAACTTGTTTATTGACAAACTGAACATATTCTGGGATTTTGTTGTAAAAGCGTATACATTGCCCCATAAATGAATTACTAATTCTGTGGAGTCTAGTAACTGGCGTTACAAGCTTATGTTTGTTCCTAGTGTTTAAGGTATGAACATCCTTATTCTTATTAAAGCTATTTATGTTTTTCTGTACATACATAACATTTTTATAAATATATTGCAATGCCAAAGTTAATATGTTTATTTGTTTAAATTTTTCTCTGAGGGAGTCTTTACAATTTAGATTATAAATCGCCCGTAATGCTCTCTTTTGCAAAACAAATATAGCTTCAATATCAGTCGCATTACCCCATAGCAAAATTCCATAAGACATTACGCTATGAAAGTAACTAAAATACACTAATCTAGCCGTCTCAATATCTGTGAGACTCCTAATCTTTCTTACAGCATATGCTGCAGAACTAAGTCTGCTTGCTAATTTAGATATATGGGGGCCCCATTGAAGTTTCGCGTCAATAATAATACCAAGAAAAGCAGTGGTATCCGCAAGACTCAACTCCTCCCCATTTAATAGCACATTGGTTTTCGAATGTTTTACATTAGGTATTGTAAATTTAATACATTTTGTCTTATTGCCGTTTAGGAGCAAATTGTTGGCGTTAAACCAATGTACTAATTTCGATAGAGCATTATTTACATCGTCATAATTAATTGACTGCCGTTTGAGTTTGAAAATTAAAGAGGTATCGTCAGCAAATAATACTATATCGTGATTATCCCCTACAAGATAAGGTAAGTCATTAATATAGATTAAGAACAGGAATGGGCCAAGAATTGAGCCCTGAGGAACGCCCATTGATACTACCGATCTGGAGGAACCTTTACCATTTATTAATTTTTGAGTTCTGTTACTTAAATATGAAGTAATAAGTCTAAGCACCAAATTTTTTACACCGTAATGTTGTAGTTTCCTGATTAATGTCTCATGATGAACACAATCGATAGCCTTGGAAAGGTCACAGAAAATACCTAAGGCATCTTGTGAATTCTCCCAGGAATTAAAAATATATTTCATAAGCTCAACACCGGCGTCAGACTTCGAGCGACCCCTTGTAAAACCAAACTAGTTTTTATGAAGTAATTTAATTGTATTAAAAAAATTAACAATTGATCCAAAATTATTTTTTCAAAAATTTTACTGAGAGTTGGTACTATACAAATAAGTCTATAATTAGTGGGGTCCAATGTACTACCAAGCGCTGGACCACAATCCTACATGATAGAATATTTGACCTCACCATGAAGATAACCATATTGCGTAGGTTTGAGATAATGAATAAAAATTCTCGGTATTGGTATTTCGGGTTACATCTACTTTTTAGTATAGGTGAAGTCAAATGTGACTATAGGAAATATCTTTTAAAGCAGACCGCAAATAAAAAAGTGTTTTTATTAAATTTACTTGTGATTTTATTTCAGGAATATTTTAATTCTTGCTCAATTTGTAAATTTTTATAATTATAATTGGATGTGCAAATAAATATAATCAGATAAATAAATTACGAAAATTTAAAAACAAAGCATTATAAAATGTTGTAACTCCTAATAATATTTTTGTTAACAATGGCTTTAAAAATGTCACATTTGATGGTTTAATTGAAATATAATCCACACATTGTTTCATCAAGGATAATTTAGACTAAAGTGTTATTCACATAGAAATTTAATTAAGTATCTATAGAAAGTGTCATTGCAAATTCAGAGCACATCGGCAGAATTGGCGAGAAACTAGTTCGTATTCCTTCGGGAACACGTGCATTCTGGTCATTCGCTAAGACTGTCCAAGGGAACTTCTGTCAGCCATCTCTCCCAGATGGGATGCAGAGATCTGCATAGAGAGGACGACTCACTGGCCCACGCCGCAAAGGATAAAGCCGATCTGCTGGGCTCTCTCTTTGCGTCCAACTCGGCTCTTGATGATAGGAAAATCTGATGGCGGCCCTCCTATTGGGCTGAAGACGTGTGCTCCAGAGCTGACACCCGTTTTAACGCGTCTTTTCCGGTACTCCTACTCCCTAGGCGTAGTCCAGAAATCATGGAAAACAGCTTTCGTGCACCCGATCCATAAAAAAGGTATCCATTCTGATCCGTCTAACTATAGGCCTATCACCATCTCCTCCTTGTTCTCTAAAATAATGGATTCCATTATTAACAGCCAGCTCATGCGGTACCATGAGGATCACCAGCTGATTAGTGACCGTCAGTACGGTTTCCGTCACGGTCGCTCGGCTGGTGATCTTCTGGGTTACCTAACTCATAAATGGGCGGAGGCAGTAAAGTCTAAGAGGGAGGCGTTGGCCGTTAGTTTGGACATAGCGAAGGCCTTCGATCGGATTTGGTACAAAGCGCTTCTTACGAAGCTCCCTTCTTATGTGCTTTATGAGAAATTGTGCAATTGGATCACCAGCTTTCTTGCAGATCGGAGCATCAAGGTTGTAGTAGACGGTGCATGTTCCGATTACAAGCTCATTAACGCTGGTTTTCCACAAGGTTGTGTGCTATCGCCAACGCTGTTTTTCTGCATATCAATGACACGTTGCAAACCGGTAACATTCATTGCTATGCGGATGACAAGACTGGTGATGCTTTATACACCGGCTGTGCCCATATTTCTCGGGAAAACGTCGCCAAGGGCCGGAACAAAGTTGAGTCTGAAGTCGAGAATTTGTTCAACAAAGTCTCAGACTGGGCGCGACTAAATGTAGTCTAGTTCAACCCCCAGAAGACACAAGTTTGCGCTTTTACCACTAAAAAGAATCCCTTCGTCGTATCTCTTCAGTTTCAAGGCACTCCCCTTGTAGCCTCAGCCAGTATCGGAATCCTCGGCGTCGACATATCAAGTGACGTGCAGTTTCGTGGTCACTTGGAAGAGTTGGCCTCGAAAAAGCTTGGCCTGCTCAGCAGAGCGGGACAGTATTTTATGCCGACACACCGCCTGCAACTTTACAAGGCGCAGGTTCGGCCGCACATGGAATACTGTTCCCATCTCTGGGTTGGCACTCCCCAGTGCCAGCTCCTTCCATTTGATCGCATCCAGCGCAGAGCTGTTCGAATCGTCGGCGATCGAACTCTTTCCGATCGGCTTGACTCACTGGCACTGCGAAGAGATGTTGCATCGCTTTGCGTATTTTATCGCATTTACCACGGGGAGTGCTCTGAGGAATTGTTCGGGCTAATCCCAGCCGCACAATTCCTCCATCGCACATCGCGACAAAACTCGCGATACTATCCATACCATTTGGATGACTGGCGGTCTAACACTGCGATTTAAAAGAAGTTTTCTTCCTCGTACAATTTCCTTGTGGTATTGACTACTACCAGAGATTTTCCGAATCGATACGACTTAGGGACCTTCAAGAGCGTACTCCTTTTTAAAAGGCCGGCATCGCATCTGCAATTCCCCTGGTGTTGCAGTTGTTTATGGGCGGCGGTAATCACTTACCATCAGGTGAGCCGTATGCTCATTTGCCCCCTCTCCTATAAAAAATAAAAACATCACATATTAGCTAACATTGTAATTTCAGTTCATAAACAATTACTCAGACCTTTGTTTTTGATTTAATTTTAAAATGTATAAATTTATAAAAAAAATCATCTATACTAATATTATATAAGTGGTAAAGTTTGTAAGGTTGTGACTTTGTTTGTAGGAAGTAATCTCTGGAACTACTGAATCGATCATATTTGATTGTGTTTTTAATGTGAAATAACAATATTTGTCAATCAGTTCCAAAAATAAATTCTAAACACTCAGTATTAAGAACCTCGCAAGATAATTTCATCACAAGTAAAAATGTTTGACGCCCAACAAAGTGGGCACGGGTCAGCTAGTTTATGTAATAAAAAGGCTGTTGCATGAAATTTTCATACCTAAAAACCTAAAATATTAATTAAGTAACATAACATAACTTTTATTAACTATTAAATTTATACATTATTTTTATTAAATAATTGGTCTACAGTAGATTTGTGTGAATGTATTCGATTGATTTAAAATAATTACCAAACAGTTTATAATTTAGAATTTTTCTTCACTTAAAAATAAATAAAACAGACATGTTAAGAAGATAGAGCGCCTAATAGACTCCAAAATGGCCGTGTAAAAAGTTTAATGAGAGAAAATACGATTTAATTTAATACTTACATATTAAAATATCTTTATTAAGTTATTAGTGACAACCACTGGTAACATACAAAATTTATCTATTTAAGCTCCTAACACCGCTAATATAATATCATATTAATGATCATAGCTAATGTTTCATAGAAATAGGAGAAAGCTACGACAGTGTAGTTTTTAGAAATCAAACATATAACTAGACTCATAGTTTTCTCATATTTCTATAACCATATACAAATTATGATAATCTGATAGCGACCTTACACAGGTTCGAGCATTGCTCTATCACAGCTACGTTTGATTTTGAATAACATTTTTGGAGTATGTTTTATTTATACATCTCAGGAAGCTACTGGTAGGATCTGTTACTCAGGCTCATGTCAGGCTTTGTACCTATTTGAAGATAGCTTAATTACTTTCAAATTTCAATAAACAAGCATATGTCTGACATGGAAACTGTCAAAGTTATTTTACTTTGAGATGGATTATTTACGTGGATAAGTTGATCACGTTTATTATAATTTTACTCTCTTCATTATTTGATGATTTTATTACACATCTTCAATCTACAATATATAACTAGACAATAGGTCAGGGCCAGATGTGACAAAAGTTCTTTTAATGATGTGTGACTAATGTGTACTTTAACTGCAGAAGATAAGGTTCATTATAGTATAATTATTTATACTACAACATATTTCCATTACTTACTATGTTTATATTATATATAATAAATTAAAAAATATTTTTACACCAATATCTTAGGTAATTAACAATAATTCAACTGTAAGGTAATACGCCAACGGCGACAGTTTCTTTGTATGTGGTCCTATAACTAATTGTATATTGTAGATTGAAGTTTGAAAATTTATTTACTTCAGTTTTTACCAATAGAGTTAGTATTGTTTGCCACTTAACTGAACAATTTGTTTAACGAGATCCTTGTAAGAATTTTTTTTTATGTATTAAATATTTACTACACAGAATTTAATTGGTTCATATGACACTCGATGTGTTCAGTTGGTTGGGTTGTTTTGTTCACTTGGATGCTTTTGTGTTCATGGATACTGTTGTGTTCATGAACAGTTTTAACTGCGTGTGTAGCGTGTCCATTGGTGTGTTTCTGTTCACGCCCCGCTCGTTCCAAAGATCCATCTGGTAAGAGCCACGCGGGGCGGTAATGCACGCGGCCATTTTCCGTGTACGCTAAAGATTCGTTCGGCCATGTATTAGCTGTGCTGCCTATCGATGTATAACTAAAAAAGAAGCCATTTAATATAATGTATATCAACAAAGCTAAGCCAATTTTCGAAATTGTTTATATAATAATATGTAAATTTGAAATTATTAAATTTATTTTTCAAATAGAAAAAAATTGTAAGATACGTTAGGTGAGGACATTTAAAAAGTATATACTCACATAAGTGTAGCTGCGATCTGAGAATATTAACTATACCATATCCTGTGGGTGTCATAAGAGGAGACAGGGAATCTGAAACAGGAGACGGGCAGCATCTTCTTGCCTAGCGTGGCAATAGTATGACAAAAGACCATCTATGAGGCAATCTATGGAAAAGCCTATGTTCAGTAGGCTGTAGCGGATGGATTGATGGAGATGGAGTGACGACCTGGTAAGACATGCATGAAGACGATGGATGCAGGTGGCACTGAACCGTGTTTAGTGGCATTCCTTGGGGACGCCTATGTTCAGCAGAATACTTGTGAAAAGCTATGATGAATTTAAAAGGCAATGTCTATTAAGTATTCTTTTAAACTAACGACTTTTAAAGTCCACATATAGGCCTTTTCAAGAATGCGCTAGCTGGCAACATTACCAGAAAGATTTATCAACACCTCGACACGCTGGGCAGGCCAGTTGGTGTAAGCAGAGCCGATACCCTCTGATTGTTAATGCTACCCGTCTGTAAATCTTTGGTTTAAGATGACAATAAGTGCACCGCGTGCAGAAGTGAGGGTAGTAAGAGATTATCTTTTACACCGTATGTGGAACTAAATGTGTCATCGTCTCAAATATGTTAAATTAATAAAGAAGTATAAGGAGACGGATTACCCTTTGTCGTAGAGGCTACAATAAGGCACCCGATGCTGTAAGATGTAACTCCATATCTGATGATAGCTCCAGTTCAACAGAGGCGACACTCGTAATATCCGAGGCCAGCCCGGATCAGTATACTGTAAAACCGATGTTAGATAATATTACTTAGGTAGGTTACATCATAAACGCGTTTTCAGACGGATATTTTAATTTTTTTTTGTTTTTACTATATACAGAGGTGAGAAATTTGTGTAAAGTTATTTAATACAAACGTAATGGGACATAGTTATGCAAAACAGCGTCCATAAATAACGAGTTGAATGTAAATTCAAGAAAAACAACTTCCTTCTGCGTGAATCCCATATCTCTGGTGCCCTTTGACCTACAGGACCCAAATTCAAACTCGACCGAGCTACTACCTCAAGGTATCCACATATCAAATTTAAAGTCAATCGGTCCAGTGGAACGAAAGTTATCGTGTCGGCATACAGACTAACAGACTGCCAGCTAAAACCATAACTTCCTTTCAATGCTACGCAGAAGGAAGTTAATAACCGGCCAAGTGCAAGTGGGACTCTCGCATGAAAGGTTCCTTACCATGGTAATGGTAATAAAAAACACTTTTCTATTCTAGTAGGGCAGCCCCTTTTAATTTTTAATTTATTTTAATTTTTATTAGTTGTTATAGCGGCAACAGAAATACACATTCTGTGAAAATTTCAGGATCATGAGATACAGCCCGCTGACAGACAGACGGACAGCGGAGGCTTAGTAATAGAGTCCCGTTGGTAACCCTTTGGGTACCGAATCCTAAAGAGCTTCTTTGGAGCTGTTGTCGTTTGAAAGTCTAAAGTTTGGATCGGTATGCGGTAATAATGGTTTAATTTGTTTTTAATGTCTTTTTTATTGTCTGATTTTGCTAAAATTCTTTTTTCTACATGAAAGTATATACACTTTTTTTGGCGTACAAGAATCCTTTTGACCAGTGACCAGTGCTTGCGTACTACACAAAAGTATTTACGATTAGTTTCGATAAAGCTACCATGTTATTTTATTTAAGTAAGGGAGTAAACTCAATAAGTTAATGCTGGCTAATAGACACCTACATCTATCAATTTTTTTTATAGAATTATAGTGACAAACGAGCACACAGTCCACCTGATGGTAAGAGGATGCTGTGGCCCATAGAATCTCATAGACATTTATTAATCTCATTAAAAATCAAAATGCAGATGCGTTGTCACCCCTAAGTATTAAGATGAAATACCTTGTATTATACCTTGCAATACCACCAATGAAATTGTTAATTGCAATTTTAAGTGCTGATTTACCACGTGCTCGGCGGTGAAGGTTTTTATGTGGTAGAGCCATGCTGTAGCTATATTCATGATATAGTTGTAGCACGAATGGGTCGGCTCGACCGGGGAAGGTCTACGTTCTCACAGAATACCAGCATAAAGTAGCAGCTTAACGCTGCTGTGTTTCGTATGGTGAGTGTAGAGAACCGGAGATCCTTTTTACTGGAAACAAGGCATTCCATCTTAGTCCTCAAGGGTGACAACCCATCTACATTTTGATACGTAATCGAGGATGGATGTAGATGTCTATGGGCCACAGCAACCATCAGGTGGACTGTGTGCTCGTTTGTCATCCTAATTCTATAAAAAAAGGGAAACATCATAAGGAAACCTGCATGTCTGAGAAAAAGAAAAAAAATATTTTCGAAGACATGTGAAGGGCCCCAACACGCATTGGGGCAGCGTAGCGCGGCGGACACTTCCTTGCCCTAAAACCCTCTCAGAAATGAGAGGAAGCCTATGCCTAGCAGTGGGACGTATATAGGCTGTAACTTTACTTTTTACTTTACCTTGTATTCAGTAAAAAGTTTCTCCGGTTTTCTACACTCGCCATATACGAAACACAGCAGCATTAAACTGCTATTTTACGCTGGAATTCTGTGAGCGGCGTCCTTCTTGGGTCATTCTTGCCCAGCCATTAAAATTGCTGCAATGTGACTATACCACGTGCAATAATTCTTCAACTATTCAATGACCAATATGTGTAAAAAATTACTTTTGTATTGTTATATTTTTTTACACAGTGTGCGTAAAAGAAATGATAGATTATCCACCGGCGGTGTAAGAACACCGACGTCAGAAAGCAACGTAGAATGTGCCAAGACACTGGGATCGTTAATCCACGTGTGAAATGTTAATGCTAAGTTATCTATACAAATAAATATGTCTGTTTGTAATGTCAAAATAACAGCTTTTTACTAAATGCATATGAAAGTATTTACGGTACTTATAACAAAAAAAAAACAATTTTTAAAATTTATGTCTGTCTGTTTGTTCCGGCTAATCTCCGAAACAGCTGGACCGATTTTGACGGGATTTTAACTGGCAGATAGCTGATGTTATAAGGAGTAACTTAGGCTACTTTTATTTAAGTAAAAGAATTAGGGTTCCGCGCAAAAAAATTAAAACCCATGAAATCCAATAGTAACGCGGGCGAAGTCGCGGTGAACAGCTAGTTTTTTATAAAACTGAAGTGACAAACGAACTTACAGTTCACTTGATGATAAGTAGATGATGCGAAGTCACGTTTCATGGATACAGTTCATGGACGCCTACAGTCAACTTTATACAAAGAAGGCTACAGTTGCGTTGTTACCCCAGAGGACTAAAATGGAATGACTTACAGCTTATTATATTGGCTGTCTATACCCTTCAAACCGAAAACAGCATCGCAAGCATTGCTATTTTGTGGCAGAAGTAGGTAAAAGAGTGGTACATACTCAGACGGAAATCTTCGTCCTAGGCACAAAAGGTGTCCTGCCACATAATATTTATATTTAATAGTTAATAGTAAATTAAAATTTAAGAATAATTGTCATATAATAGTATCTTATTCATCTATATCTATACCAATTTTAATTAGAATCCGTCTAGCTGTTCAAATATGATTGAAGGGCTAAATAACTTTCTGCTCACCAGATGTCGCTAGTTGACACTGAGGTAAAGTTTTTGGTTACACAGTAATTTAATTGAGAAGTTGGTTTTTAATAAAAGTTTATGAGTTTCTAGAGTATTAAATTAATACACAAAACAATGCGTCAGTGGTTTGCTCTTTAATTTTTTTGCACATTTTTAACTTTTTTAATCTTTCTACTTCTATGAATATCTGTGGTTTGGTTTATTTATTTTTAACCTTATTAAATATAAATATAGCTAAACCTTATTAATATATAGTAGTAGCTCTCGCTGTAAGCTTCACAGTACTCGAACAACCCGGGTTCGATCCCCGCCGGCACCAATGAAATTGTTAATTGCAATTTTAAGTGCTAATTTACCACGTGCACGGCGGTAAAGGAAAACATCGTGAGGAAACCTGCGCATGTCTGAGAAATATGAAAAAAATTTATTTTAAAGACATGTGAAGTTCGCCAACACGCACTGAAATGAGAGGAGACCTGTGCCCAGCAAGGGGACGTAAATAGGCTGAACTTTTATAGCTAATAGTGCAGAAAGAAACAATAACCTTTATATTTTCCGAACAAATTAACTTCCCCACTATGAAATCTGTCAAATATTAACCTCACTTTCTAGTGGCGCCGTCCTCGTGGCAGATAAATTAAACTTATATTATTTATAAAATTAAACTTATATTCACCTGCATAAATTTTAAATTTTCACTATAAGGATCTGTTCGTCGAGTTCCCATCAAGCACGCTTTTAGATTTTTATCGTTTTCTGTTATCTTTTGCAAGGCTTCCTTTAGTACTCCTTCCGTCACGATAAGATTTATTCCATAATGCGTCTCTATTTGCTTCACGAAATTCTCTATTTCCTTGAAGGGATCTTTGGTACGAATATAAAGTACTTTAAGTTCTTTGCCTATGTTTTCTCTTTTGTACATATCCTGCAATACTTTTATAGTAACGTCTAATAATACAGTACAGTCCTTCCCACCGTTGAAAGATAGGAAAACTTCGTCAAGTTGGTACTGTGTGAAACATTTTTGTATTATCTGTAAATGGGAAAATGTTTGTTGATGTTTACGGTGACGTTTATAGACTTTTAATTTAAAAAAAAATCCTTTAAAACTATTTTACTTTTGCATTATTTAAATTACACATGAAAAAAAAAACGTTCAGATGTGGAAAAAATAATCGTAGTTCATATAAATAAATCATCATTATCACCATTATCATCATAACAGCCCTTCACAAGTCCACTGCTGAACATAGGCCTCACCCAAGGAATGCTACAAAGCACGGTCCTGAGCCACCTGCATTCATCGAATGCCGCATCTTTTACCAGGCCGTCACTCCATATATTTCCCTTGGCAGTACGAGTCTGCCACTCGAGAACCTTTCTTCCCCATCGGTCGTCGGTTCTTCGAGCTATATAGAGGGTCCATTGCAGTGGCAGAAGTGTCTGCTTACTGATCCGTTGAGCTATATCGGTTAATATGGTTCTATTGCGGTATCCTCATTTTTAAATTTTACATGAAGAGAAACTCCGAGCATAGTGGCCCTTCATAGCTTGCTGAGTGACCTTGAGCTTCCTGTATAAACATATATATAATAATATAATAAACTCGCCTGTTCAGTCTCCATTAGAACTGTTGTGACATCTGGTAGATCCATAGAAACGTTTTCGAATTTCCGCGACATTGGATTTAGATATATACCTGAATAAATAAATAACAGAAAACCTTAATGTTGCACACGTTAAAGTCTTATTTGGTTTGAGAGTTCCGCAAAAGTGGAATAATTTGGGTAGGGAAATCAATCAATTGATATTGAATAGGGAAATCGAGAACAACGTTCTAAATTGAAGGTTGAAGCCACTATACGATAGGTTCGTTTCGGTTACGTTATTTCCTTTGTTTAAGCAGGCGATAACAAAGAAAATGTTTAATAAATTTTAGACCTTAAATTCAATGCATTAGGAATATAATAGCTTGTAGAGTTAAAAAAATTATGTCGTACATTATGAACTGAATAGCCTTAATAATTACTAATTAATTCTTAATTAAGTATAAGTTACGAAATTTAAAGCATGGATTTCTTTAGATCGTTTTAAGATTAAAATGCAATATTATATTTTATGCGTGGTAGAGCGAAGTTGTAGCTAATTTATGGTTGCAGCACGAATACGTCAGTTCGACCGGGGGGAACTATGCTCTCACAGCATACCAGCGTGTAATAACAGCTTGATACTACTGTGTTTCATATTGTGAGTGTAGAGAACTCTTAATGCTTAGGGATTACGCATTACGCATTTTGATTCTTAATCGAGGATGTAGATGTCTATGGGCTACAGCATCCACTTACCATCAGGTGTACTGTGTGCTCGTTTGTCGCGCTTATTTGATAAAAAATAAATGTATGTACGCTATGTATATAAACTACTGACGGTATGATCCAGTTTAAATTGTCGTATAGTGGTGACATAAGATAATAAGTCACTTAATTTTGTCCGAAAAGTTGTCAAAGTTGCGTTTATTAAAAATACCAGAAAGAACTTATTACCTCCTCTATTTGGCGGTATAATCATATCATATACACTAAATATACTTAATACAGCAACTGAGAGCAGTGACAAATGTGTGACTTATGGTACTGCGTTCATCAATCCGCCCACCAAACGTGGCGATGATGGTAAATCCTCCCCGTAACAGGGATGCCTATGTCAAGCGGTGGACTCTTAGGGGCTGATGGTGAAGATATAAACTACAATTATATCAGTGGCATTAAAATCTTCCGAGTACTAATAAACTTTCGCTGCCTTGCTGACCATGAGGTCTCAGGTTCGAATTCCGGGTCGGGCCTAAATCAGTCATTGGGTTTTTCTGCCGAGTAATTCCCAGTAGTAGCCCGGAGTCAGTAAGCTGGCGGTGTTTCACTTCGTGCCTCGGAAAGCACGTAAAGCCGTTGTTCTCGCCATCGTAGAGTGAGGGAATATAAAGTGCACTTGAGTTAGCGCATACACTCGGGCACTATAACCGTGTCCTGGGCAGATGGCTAATCTCCATTGATTCTAACCGCCATGAACAAAATTCTGTCTGGAGGACATTATTATTGTTGCGCGCCACTATTAATGTCTTGTTCATGACAACACTAATTACCACTAGCGCCTTCTAGTATCGAGTAGTAGAACTAGGAGAGTCAAGATCCTTCTAGAAATTTCGGGATCGACATGCACTCGAACATTCTAGATGTTTCTACAGTAGAAGGTTCTGGAAACTATCTGAGGCCCTATTTAAGGCCGGTATAGACCACGACCGAGTCAGTATTGAATTAGCGATCCAAGCGAATACTTCGACGGCGAACTAAAGTGATCAGTAGTACAACTCTGTTTTATTATTAGTGTTGTTTTAAGTTGTAAGTAGTGTTCTATAATTAAAGTGTCAATTTTGGTAATTCAATCGGCAGTTTTTAATTGTCTCGAACCCCAAGCTTGTAACATTATTCATAATAGACTTATTATATTTAGCAGGCGGGTTGTCAAGCGCATTTTTTATTATTGTTATCGGACAAATGGTGTTACCCATCTTCTGTTTTCTTTCCCTCTGACGCCAAATATAGTAGGTATTACTAATATTGACTTCTTAGTAGGCAAAACCTTCCTACAACGGTAAGGACCCATGTCAACTTCCCACTTGTTGACTGATTACAAGTTAGTAATTTTTAATATAATCACGCGTTACTTTGCGGAAATCCATTATATTAGATATGTTAAAAATTAATTAGCTCAGATAATCGTGTGTGTGTGTGTGTGTGTGCTTGCGTGCGTGTGTGCGTGCGTGAATGCGTGCATGGGTGGGTGCGTGCATGTCATTTTACTTCTTCCGTCCACCTAGCTGTATTGTACCTAGCTGTACAGATTTATATAGGGTGTCTCAGCGCCGATTTTAAACTTTGAATATTTATATTTAAAAAAAAAACAATTGTGTTTATAATATTTTAATTGTAGTAACTTATAGTACATTAGTGCGAATTTTATGTACGGAATATTACACCGTCAAGATGTCTTCCATCATGACGAATGCACTCTTCAAAGCGGACTAACGAATTTGCAGAAACACGCTGCAGAACGTCAATTGATATGGCCCTCACTTCTGTCGTTATTTTAGTCTTCAGCTGCTCTAAATTCGTAAGAGGGGTATCAAAAACTCTTGCTTTAAGATAACCCCATAAAAAAATCAGCTGGGGTTAAGTTGGGAGATCTGGGTGGCCACAATATGTCTCCAAAGCGGCTTATGATTTTTCCCGTAAACAACGCTTTTAGTATGTCCATGGAGACCCTAGCTGTGTGGGCTGTTGCCCCATCTTGCTGAAACCATACACCGGACTCATCAACATCCTCTTCTTGCAGCTGCGGTACAAAAAGTTATTAATCATGTCGATATACCGCTCGCTCGTCACTGTAACCGTTGCACCTCGATCATTCTCGAAGAAAAATGGCCCGATGATTTTCTTCGCCGATATTGCGCACCGTACAGTAACTTTGGGGCTCTGTAATGCCTTCTGATGTTTTTGTTTTGGATTGCTGGGTGACCACTAACGGCAATTTTGGCGATTGACGTACCCTTCGAGGTGAAAGTGTGACTCATCGCTAAAATAAACATTGGACATCCCATTTTCCTCTGAAAAAATCTCTAACATCTTCTGACAGAAAATTTTTCGCTTCTTGTAGTCTTCTGGTTTGATTTTTTGAACTATTTGGATTTTATAGGGATGTAATTTTAAGTCTAAGACCAAAATTAGTTGAATACTTGAACGATGAAGATTCAAAGAGGCAGCATGTTTTCTAACTGATCGTCGTGGATGCTACGCGACCGCAGCGACAACGCGGTCGATGTTTTCAATCGATCGAACAGGTCTAATTCGAGAGCCAATTGAATGTTTCATTAAACATCCTGTCGCTCTGAACATTTTTACCCACGACTTAATTAACTTAATACTCGGGGCATCACTTAAACGGCGGATTTCATAGCGATTACAAAACTTGCGCTGTGCTTCCTTCAGCGAAAACTTGTTGCAAAAATACGCCTCTACTGCGTACGTGCGGTGCGCGCCTGACCACTGGGACATAGCGACTAAAAAGCCAGCACTAATCACCTACCGAACGCTACCTCTCCCCTCCCGCTAACCCCGCCGGTTGCCGAGAAATTCGTATTTAATGTTTAAAATCAGCGCTGAGACATCCTTTATAATGATTTCGTAGGTACACAGTTCTCATCTATTGTGCAGGAATATATCATCAAAATACTTATACTATAAAAGATCTATCACCACCTTTGCAGTATTAATTCAATTCGTAGATCGAACTAAAAATTAATATTCATAAACTGAAGGTAGCCGGGCTAACTATGACATCAGAACGTCAAAAATCATGACCATGGGTGCTGTAGAGCACCCGAAACATTGAGGAATTAAAAAGTTAAATTAAACACGATAGAATCCGTAAAAAATAGTTTCACTTAAAGTATTACTTCAAATTCGAAATATGTAAAAGGCTATTTTATATATACATAATATTTATATAAATAGTGTTGTTGTATTTAAAAGGATCTTGCTGATTTGTCATTATCTGGGTAAATTACTATGCGTCACGCAATATTGTTAAATGATAGCCTAATGAACCATAACAGGGTGACACTTTTCGGCCACAAATAAATGTTTTCAAATGTGCTACTTTTAAGGGTTTAAGTTTAAAAAAATAAAATTATCTATAATCATATCCATGAATCTATTCATGATAAATAAAAAAATGTTTTGCTTCCGTCATCATGTATGTTAGTAATTGCTGGGCGACTTTGCTTCTTACGACAGCACTTCACTCTCTATGTAAAAAATTAAATGTAAATTATTAAAAAGAGACAGCAAGCAGTGCATGCACTGCTGTATTCCAAACTGAAGGGTATAGAGGGCCAATATAATTACATGCTGTAATGCAGTCCTTAGTACTCGGAGATGACAACTCATTTGTAACCTTCTTTGTATAAAGTTGCCTGCAGGTGTCAATAGAATGCAGTAGCCAGTTACTATCAGGTGAACTGCCAGTTTACTTGTCACTGTCATTTTATTAAAACGTGCAGAGTAGGGCAACCCCCCCATGATCTCATAAATTATAAAAAAAATATTGATGGATGCAGGTGCTTTAGGACCGTAAAAACATGCTCAGAAAAAAATATTTTATTATGTAAAACACAATTTTTTATAATATTTTGTTTTTTATTTATTCTATATTGCTACACTTACATCAAATTCACAACTCCATGGGTTGACTGGTAGAGAATGCTTCAAGGCATTAAGTCCATTAAGACTAGACTAAGAAAAATAAATTAAAAAATACATATACTATATAATACATAATGAAATAATTATATTTTTTCATCAACACAACTTTTTTGATGGAGGCTCATCACATTCAAGTTCGTTTTTAGTCCAATAATTATATTTCTTGTTAATTTTAATGTGATATGCATCATTTTCTTTTTGGGCGACACATTTATTTAAACTTTTATGCACAAAAAATAAAATCATACATATGGCGTACATAATGCCTCTTAATTATTTACTTGTATTTTCAAAAACTGCAGTAACGGTGTATTATTAATTATATATTTCAACTTAAGTTTAAAATTTGGCTACTCTTTGAAAAATAACCCTGTATATATATGCCATGATAAATATGTGACAATAGAATAGGGAATATGTGACAATAGAATCATTCTTTAAAAAAGTGTTGATTCACACTTGCAATGCTTTACTAAAATGTTCATGAACTTGGTTTTTGAAAAGAATCTTGTTGGAAGCTTCTTACATGGGATTCACTTAAATTACTACCAGATATGTAACAAATGTTTTCCATAACTAATTTTTCAATTCGTTGCTAACGCCACAAAGGGGACGAACCTCAATTTTTCAAAAAACCACAGGAGAGTAAGAAAACATTTATTATTCCCCCGATTACTAACTTTTTTTCATCAGAAAATTATTCTTATTTGTAGTTTTCCATTGAAACAGAAACTTTTTTATTCAATATAGATTATAAATAATTCTTCTTGAAAGTCACTCTTTTGTTTGATTACCACTGGTTCGGAAAAAACCTCTGTCCTGGGAAGAACCAGCAAGAAACCCAGCGGGACTTTTTTTTTAAATAACAGCTTACAATCATGATGTTACACAAATTAACAACACAACAAATTAGAAATAGCTTGGTAGCGATCACCTCATTTCCAGGGGTTATTATCATCCATAAATTCCTTAATATTATAATAACCCTTTTTATACAAACTTAGTTTAATAAAGTTTTTGAACTTTGAACAGGTCAAACTTTGTATATTTTCTGGAATTTTGTTGTAAAAGCGTATACATCGCCCCAAGAATGAATTACTGACTCGATGGAGTCGAGTAACTGGTACTACTAGCTTGTGTCTGTTCCTAGTATTTACAGAATGAATATCACTTATTTTTGTAAAACTACTTTTATTTTTGTGTACGTACATTACATTTTCATAAATGTATTGAGAGGCCAAAGTTAATATATTAATTTCCTTAAATTTTTGTCGCAGCGACTCTTTAGGCTTTAAATCATAAATTGCTCTTATGGCCCTCTTCTGCAAAACAAATATAACTTCAGTGTCAGCTGCGTGTCCCCATAGCAAAATACCATACGACATTATGCTATGGAAGTAGCTGAAGTAAACTAGTCTAGCTGTTTCAACACTGGTTAAACTTCTAATCTTTTTTACAGCATATGCTGCAGAACTAAGTCTGCTTGCTAGTTTTGATATATGGGGGCTCCATTGAAGCTTCGCGTCTAGTGTGATTCCAAGAAAAATGGTGGTATCTACAAAACTCAGTTTCTCCCCATTTAAAATTACATTAGTATTTAATTGTTTGACATTTGGAGTCACGAATTTCATACATTTTGTTTTAGTGCCATTTAAATGCAAATTATTAACGTCGAACCAATTTACTAATTTAGCGATAGCATTATTTACTTCGTCATATTTTAGTAACTGTCGACTTAATTTGAAAATTAAAGAAGTGTCATCTGCAAATAATACTATATCATGGTTATCCCCTACTATGTAAGGTAAGTCATTAATGTATACAAGAAACAGAAAGGGGCCGAGAATTGAGCCTTGAGGCACGCCCATTTGTAGCATCGATCCGGAAGAGCTCATATTGTTAATGACAACTTTTTGCGTTCTCTTACTTAAATATGAAATAATTAATTTAAGGGCATCACTTCTTACACCGTAGTGTTGAAGTTTCCTGATTAATGTATCATGGTGAACACAATCGAAGGCCTTGGATAGGTCACAAAATATACCCAAAGCATCCTGTGAATTCTCCCATGCATTAAAGATATATTTAATCAGCTCAACACCGGCATCAGTTGTCGAGCGACCCCTTGTGAAACCAAATTGATTTTTATGAAGTAAATTATTTATATTAAAAAAAAATTAACATTTGAACAAGAACAATTTTTTCAAAAATCTTACTAAGTGTTGGTAGTACAGAAATAGGTCTAAAATTGGCGGGGTCTAATGTACTACCAGATTTAAATAAAGGTATTACTTTACTATGCTTCATTAAATCAGGAAACACACCAGAATCGATACTAGTATTAAAAATAATAGCTAAATGAGGCGCGATTGTATCTATTATAGACGCAATAACTTTAACGGAAATCCCCCACAGATCCGCAGTTTTCTTAACATCAATAGTTTTAAAATATTTTACAATATCTTTTGATGACACTTTATGAAATGTAAAATTCTTTGTACACACATTTACATTTTGTTTAAGTAATGATTCGGCGACGGCAGGAGAAGAATTCAGTGACTTGGTGGTCAAGATCGGAATATCAGTAAAATATTTCTCAAAAACCATTGCTACGTCCTGATCTGATACAGTTAATTTGTTGTTAACACTTAACTGGTACTTTGAATTGCGAGAGTTGATCTTACCAGTTTCGCTATTAATTATACTCCATGTCATTTTAATTTTATTGGAAGCCGTCTTAATTTTGTTGCTCAAATGCAAAGACTTGGCTATGGAGCACACTCTTTTAAATATTTTTGAATATTTTTTTACATATTCCCTAAATTCGATTATCATTATATTCACATGATTTTACCAGATCATTCATGGCCAATATGTGTTCTTTTATCTCATCTTGAGCCGATGCATATTTATTTGATACATTTTCTAGAGAGCTTTTAAGTGATAAAATTGTTGAATTTAGACACTCTATATCAGTCTCATAACAGTGATTCATATTTTCCACCTCAATTGAATATATTTTAAGTTTATTAATTAGTTCTTGCTTTTCTTTGCATACATTTATATAATTTTTAACATTAATTTTAGTTTTAATTAATTTTTGTAGTTTTCTAATATATTTATTAATTTTTATATATTTCTTTAATTTTCTTCTACTGCAGGTAGTCCTTGCTGCTGTTCTTGATATGACATAATCATCACCAGTCAAATCGATTGTTGTGGAGGGTTGCAATGCTTTAGATTTAGTAGATTCACACTCTATGAGCTCGTTGAACAAACTTTGAGTTTGGGACGCTTTTATGTTATCTATGTAATGTTTTAATTGTACAATCTGCTCATTAGCCTCACTTAACTGTAACTGCAATGCAGCAATTAATTTGAGGGATTCCTCATATCATTAAATCTAATATATTTCATTTTCTGATGAAAAAAAGCTAGTAATCGGGGAATAATAAATGTTTTCATAATTGATAGAATCAGGCATTACTTTGTGGAAATCCATTATAATGGGGTTGTTATTAACTAATTTGCTTAATTCCGCATAAAGAAAGAAAATTATGTGTCCTGCCCAGTTTTAAGGGGGACCTCCCACCCTCCCTCAATCGCGCGCACTATACCCGTTGCCATTAATCCCAGCACTACCACTCCCATGGGAATGATAGTGCCTTGAGGGAGGGTGGGAGGTCCCCCCTTAAAAATGGCCAGGACACATCATTTTCTTTCTTTATGCGGAATTAAGCAAATTAGTTTATAACAACCCCATTAAATGTTTTCATGGTCTCCTGTAATTTTTTGAAAAATTAAGGTTCACCCCTTTACAGCGTCAACAACAAATTATATAATACATAATGAAATAATTACATTTTTTCTTCAACACATAACTTTTTTGATGGAGGCTCATCAAATTCAAGTTCGGTTTTCAGTCCAAAAATTATATTTCTTGTTAATTTAAATGTGACTCGCATCATTTCCTTTTTGGGCGACACATTTCTCACATGGAATACACTTATATGAATACCATATGTGTCAACAATGTTTCCCTTAACTGATTGTTCAGCTACATTATAAGGATCACCCCCAACAACAAAACAATATACATGAACAAGGATTTTAAAGTTATATTTGTCAACAAGTGATTGATCATTGATTAAACCATTGAAATATTTAAGAAACTCAACAGCCATAGCTGGTAAATTCATTGTAATATGTATTGTAGTATTTTCATTTAACTCTTCTTTACCTTGGCATAACTTAACTATATAATCTTTAAAGACTGTGCAAATAAAATCTTTCCCATCTAGGTTGTATGAGTTAAAAAGAGACATGTCAACTTTGTTTTGTTTAGCATTGTGGTTTAACCAAGTGAATGAGTCAGGATTTAAATCATTAGCAAATACTTTACACTTGTGTTTTGCTGCTGGTATTGCAAATGGACCCACTCCACAAAATACATCAAACAAAACATCCCCAGGCTTTAGAAATTGCAAAATTCTCTCATGTTCTTTACCAAGACGTGGATTCCAATATACTTTTGAGAAATCAAACTGGAAGTTGCAGCGGTTTTCCTTTACGGTGACAACAAAATCTTCTTCGCCTGCAATGACCTCCATACTGAAGTTTCTGTAGGTATTATCAATTATATTACTCTTATTAACTACAGTTCTGCAAGTTTTGATTTTATCAAGTAATACTTGGCCAATCAGAGGTTTATAATCTAGGAGATGATCACGTAAATTTAAATGAATAATATGACCTATTTGAGAAAAGCCACTGACAATATCTTCATTTTCAGGTAGCACTGTCTTGAAAATTACATCATACTTAAAATTTTCATATGTAAGTTGTATTTCCTTTGAGTCGAAATTTTCTTCCGTTACATCATATTTCTTGAGAGATTGGCGATCCTCTTCAGTGATGTCCTTCCATCGGTTGATCTTCTCAGGATTTAAATGGATGCATTTCCTATTTGAACCTTCAATATCACCATGTAAAGACTGAACAGGCTTAAAATTTTCAAGTTTCAGCAGATAATTCTTGCATATTGGGGTAATATTAGACACTTTTTCTTCAGACACTTTAAGTATCGGTACTATTACGTTACGCAAAAATTTCTGACGGTCAAGTACTTTCATACCACGGACACCGACTGGTATCAATGCTACGGATAATTTAGTAGTCATTTTTTATTAAAATCTACGAAAAAAACATAAATATAATTCATAAAAAGAAGCGAAACGCTGCTATTACAATGTGAAATAAATTTTTCATACTAACCTATTCAGGACATTAAAACTTGAGGAGTGTTAATATATATTACTCTATAAAACTCTGTACACTTTACCACTTTACATCCCAATAAAATATTATTCAAAAATAAATAAGATAGATTTTTGTTCGTGGAAGTTGTGAAATGTGAAAGTGACACTTGTCAATTTTTTTTGGTGTTTTTTTTTGGAGCTTATGGCCTGGTATCTAGACCTTTAGGCCATTTTTTTGTTTATGGCCTCGCAGTGCTGCCAGATCAAAAATCTCATTCAGCGCTAAGACAACACAAAAAGCGCTAGATTTCATGAAAACAGCGCTTTAAAAAGCCCTAGATTTCTCTCTAAATTAACTCCAAACAAAGTTTGTTTTTTATTATAATTTATAATTCAAGAAAATATAATCATAATAAAGAAAACAACATTAACTTTTTTTCTGGCAAAATTTTTTTGATGTATCCATACTTTGCAGGACATCGACTTATAATTATGGCAATTGCTGTCAACAGTAGTTAGTACTGTACGAACAATTAAAATGTCATTAATTATTTTAAAGTGCAATGTATTTCGCAACTTAGTTTCAGATGTCAGCATCTGATTGCGGTTGCTACACAGTTTCTTTGTGTTGTAACTTCTAAGTAACTTTTAACTTAGTTGTGCTCTAAACAACTGACTGAAACTGAATAAAGCAAAATAAATACGTTGCCAAAACCATGAACGAAAACTTTAATAAAGCTTATAGTCGTCAGTACAAAAACCAAGTTGATCATCCTAAAGGGGGAGCTGGGAGATCCATAGCACAGGGTATCCTAGTTTGGACTTGTCTGCCATGCTCTTTGTTTTGTGGAAAAATATGTTTGAAAAAGATAAACTGCAATGTACTATTTGTGGGAAAAAATAATAAAGGTCATTATTATTATTATCGGTAATGTGGACATAGAGCTGGATTAAGCGCTAGGTGCAAACATTTTGAAATGTGCGCTATACATTCCAAAATGCGCTAGATGTAGTTCCCAAAGCGCTAAAATGGTTTATTATAATTTCCCCGCTGTATTTTTGATGAATTTATATAGAGGCACGTAATAGGATCTATTTTTTAACATATCACTCAGGCGGTGGGAGGGATCTTGCACTGTCACTTGATTTTGCACCATATCACTAATTTCACTGACAAGAATCAATCTGTCAAATGAAAAGCACACACATAAATATGAAATGTTCGATATCACCAAAAGAATTATTGCAGAAGGCGCAGTAGTTGCTCTCCACTATGCCCAACCAAGCCAGGTGAGCCGGGACGGTGGAGTGACCAAAACGTAGTATGTTTATAGTCTTAATAAAGTCCCGATTGGCCATTTTCAGTTTGTTATACCATGTTGCTACAGGTAGGTTTTCTTGAACATTTCCATACCATTTACCCTTCTTTTCTTGGTCTTGTTTCCAAAATTCGACCCATAAACTATTGATCTGGTTGTCAATAGATTGATAACAGTCGGTCAAAGGTACTTTTACTATGGAGCTAACATCCAACATGTTGGTTCCATCACGTGCAATATTATCTACTATCTCATTTCCTGTTATGCGCCTATGTGATGGAATCCACATGAAAGAGACCTGTATACCCTTTTGTGCTATAAATAACTAAATAACAATTGTTTAATGTTATACAAAATATAGTTTTTTTTCAAAGTCAAATCTGAGATTGGTTAAACTTTGGACCATACTTAAACTGTCTGTTAAAATTAAAAAAAATTATTAAAACTATTTATACGTGCGATCCTCTTCAGGGCCTCGAGGGTCGCATATACCTCTGCAGTGAAAACACTGCATTTAGGGTCCAGAAGAAAACTTTGACCAAACTTGGATTGGGGATCATAAACAGCACTGCGCACAAGGAGCTCACTTTTGCTACCATCTGTATACAGAGTATAGTACTTATTGTCGGAAAGAAAACTTAATAATTCAAAATTATTAAAAAAAATTTAGTAACAATATTGGTCTCAAATATAATACAGGAATATGGGTATAAGTAGAATGTCCATTTTGATTGTTTAATTACATTTATAAAATCTTCATTCATTTGCAGTACAATGAGAGGCAGAACTGGGAAATAAACTCGTAAAAGCTCACCTCCCGAAGTCTGCTGGGCCGAGCATTGTACAGGAAAAGGTACTATTTTTTTGAGAGCATTATCATTACCAGATAAAGCTTTAGTAAATATCTCTCTTAGTAGAAATCTTCTAAGACACAGTAGCATTATTTTGGTTTCAACTTCCATAGCTCGTATGGGAGTTGAACACATAGCCCCCGAAATAATTCGCAGAGCATTGTTTTGAATTATGTCTACAACAACTACTAGAACAACAACTACTATTAGAATAGGCTAAACAACTGTAGTCGAAGTGGCTTCTGACTATAGATTTATATAGCATACTTAAAACTTTGGGTTCTGCACCCCAAGTCACACCAGCTAATCATCTTATAATATTTAAGCCCTTAAGAGAGTTAGTTATAATGTGATTGATGCGTAACTCAAAACAAAACTTGTTATCAATGACAACACCCAAGAATTTATGGTTAGGTACAGCTGAAATTGGATGATTATTGTAGAGTATGCCATTAGAGGGAAAATCTTTACTAAAAATCATGGCCTTGCTTTTGTTGGGGTTAATCTGTAGAGCCAACTTGTCATTATATTATATATACAATTGATCTTAAGCTTTATTTATACTATTTACAGCTCCATCTACATTACGGTCTGTACAATATATTACAAGATCATCCGCAAATTGTAAAATATTTACACCTATATTTACAAAATGAAGAATTTGACTAGTATATATATTGTACAGCAATGGAGATAATGTAGCCCCCTGCATTGTACCTTTGGAGACTCTTCTGGGACCATGGAGAATATTATTATGCCTTATATACAAAGTTCTATCTGTTAAAAAATTAAATAACCAATGGCAAAGTATGCCTGGTATACCAGTGTCAGAAAGAACTTGAACCAAAATACCAGGGTCAACATTATCAAACGAAACTTGAACATCCAGAAAAACACAAACATTGGACTTATTATTATTATTAGCATATTTCAGATTTGACAAGAGAGAGATGAAGCTATCAGCACAGCTTCGCCCTCTCCGGAAGCCATATTGAACCTATGGAATGATGTTGTTCGCCTCTACATTATACTCAAGACGCACATTTATCATGTTTTCATTAAGCTTTCCAACACAAGATGACAATGATATGGCACGATATAAGTTAGGATCTTCAGGTGGCTTGTCAGGCTTAACTAGAGGGATTACACTGTGTTTTCCAAGATTTAGGAATTTTTTTAAGTGCCAAAGAGCATTAAGATTAGCTAATAGTTTCTTTTGAACGGACTGATTTAAGTTTTTGATTAAAATATATGGACAATCATCTAAACCAGGGGTAGTGTTTCGTCTGTATTGTAAACTTGTACAAAACTCACTCCAAGTAAATGGTTCTATGAGGAAACTGGACTTCTGAAGGCTATTATTAATTTGAAAATAACTTTCTAGATTATCAATAACCCTACATCCATTTTGAGAAAAATTTTCTAAGAGAGGGACAACAAATTCGTCTATATGTTCTATTATTGCATTTTATTCCTTTAAATAACTTGATGTATTTGCAAATAATACTAACAGGTGTAGTTCTGTTAAAAGTATTACAGTAGTTCTGTTAAAAGTATTACAGATTCTGAATAGTCTTTTTCTTAACAGCATTAAGTCTTTTGTAATTAATGTAATTATCAATGGTTGGATCCCTTCTGTACAGTTTTAAAGCTTCATAAGTTTTAATAACACTCTGTTCACATGTGTCACTCCACCAAGGTGCTGGAGGTTTGCAACGATAATTATTTGCTTCGACAAACTTTGGCACAGTATCCCTCTTAAGTGTACGAGCACTGAAAATTTAGGGAATCAAGGAAGGGACGCAACATTACTATTTAAAAATGTATTTATTGCTTTTCAAAGTATTCTCCGCGAAATTTGACACATTTTTCCATACGATGGAACCAATCAATGAAGCAACCATTCCATTCGGAAGTTGGGGTCTCCAAAATGGCCGTTTTATAGGTGTCCACAGCTTCTTCAGGTGATGAAAATCTCTGTCAACGCAATTTATTCTTTATTTTAGGGAAAGTATAGAAATCATTAGGGCTTAGGTCGGGACTGTACGGCGAATGGTCTAATAATTCTATGTTTTCTTGCTCTAAAAACTCTTTTGTTCTGTGTGCGATGTGAGAACTCGCATTGTCGTGATGGAGGATGATGCGGCGGTTGCAGTTCTCTTTACGGAGTTCAGAAACGACCTGGGGCAAACAAATGCTAGCATACCATTCTGCATTAACCGTTCTTTGCCCCTTAAAAGGAATAGTCGTAACATGGCCGGTTTTGGAGACAAACGTGGCCACCATTTTTTTTGCAACACGCCGTGAACGAACAATTTTTGTTGGTTTTAACTCATTTTCGAACACCCAAACTCGTGACTGGTTTTTTGTTTCGGGTTCGTACGCGTATATCCAGGATTCGTCACCTGATACGATGTTGTATACAGCATTTGAGGATCCTGCGTGGAATCTTTCGAGAGTTCTGATGCACCAAGTAACGCGAGCCGCTTTTTGCTCTTCACAGAACGAATGCGGTATCCATCGGGAAAACAACTTTTTTACACCTAATTGTTCATGCAAGATTATTTGTATTTGACTCATGCCAATGTCTAAAGTAGCCTGAATTTAGCGGTATGTCACATGTCGATCTTCCTCAATCAGCTTACGCACAGCATCAACGTTTTCTTGGGTGACTGCAGTTTTTGGACGACCTTGACGGGGATCATCACTGAGCTTGACACGTCCACGTTGAAATTCAGTAAACCAGCGATAAATTGTGGTTTTGGATGGGGCTTCATCACCGAATGCAGAAATCATCCGGTCAACACAATGTTTTTGTGTTAAACCACTTCGAAAGTCATAATAAATCATCGCTCTTGAATTTTCTCGAGTCAATTCTATTTTCTCAACGACTAAACGAGTTTAACAAAACTTTGTGACAAGACCGAGAATCTTTTTTTAAATAAATAAATGGTATTAAATTTTTAAAACCAAGGACGTTTCAATT